ATAATAACTATCATGCTCCCACTAACATGATGTTTATTAGCATAACACTTATGCTCCCACTAGCTTTGACATGTACATAGAAATCAGTTGAACTTCTAGAATTCAAAACTTTATTGACTTCCTTACCGAAGTTCAGATTTCTGTTACAAGATGTTTTGATAAAGTCTTATCAAAATCATACACCTTTCCTTAGATAGCACAAATGTGTGTCTAAACAATTTCAGAACTATGAAAAGGGATGTGGTAATCATAGTCTCAATTGTTTAGACCTTTGTCATTCCTCACAAGTCCATGTTAGTGTGTCGGTTAACCACACACGCTCCACTAACGACTTTGAGAATGCAAATATCACACTTGCCATCTACCTAAAATCTACATAGTGAAAGCGTTTCCTCACCATCATTTTCATGAATCGGAGAGAAACCTTATGACACTTAGATTTTATAGTGTATGTGTTCCTATCCATGTGAATTTGTCAAAACCACAATCACAAGACACGGTTAATGACAAATCCAAACTCATATGGATTGAACTTGTGCAGTCTTAACTTCTTGCCACCTGGCAGCACAAGGCCCTGCCATTGCTTCCAAGTTGTTATGTAACCAACTGAGAACTCTAAGAACTCATATGCAAAGCTAACTTTCACTGGAATTGGCACAGAAGTAGGAATATCTCAACACGATAGGTTATAAACCTCACGTCGTGTGCTAGTGTCAAACTATAGGCTTTTATTCTTCATTAGATCTTGAAATTCTTCTAGGATCTTTAAGACTCCCATTATCCTTTTGAAATATAAGGCTATCTTGCCAAATATTCAAGAGATAGTGTAGATTCTTTATCAAGACAAACACTTTACACAATTGGCCTAAGTTGGTCTTTGTTTTATCCAAAACATAACAACTTACCAATTTCAAATGTACAATAGTACGACACTTTTACTCTTACATTTGACAAGTATTTTAAACCTTTCTTTAAGATATGTCACTCAACTTACAGCCTTGGAGTATGACTGTAAGACTTGTTTTGGAAGAAAGTATGACTCATCTTCTTGATTTAACCATTCCAAAAATTCAAGATTCCTCTTCTTAGTCATAAGAATGCACTAAGATTTCCTTAGAGGATTAATTGTGATATGATTTCTAAATCATTAAGATGATCACAAAACCTGATACTAAAGTACTCTCCCATCTTTTCAGATTTGAGAAACTTTTATCCTTTTGTCTAATTTGATTCTTCTCATTCATTCTGCCATACATTAAAACTTTTCCAATGCTTCAGAATTATACTTCAACTTGTAAGTATAACCATATTTACTAAACTTTATTAATGATGACAAATAGTCTGATTGATCTTTTGTGGTGGACTTGACCAGTGCATAAGAATGTGTACTTGATCCCTTAGTCCTTCACTTGACTCACATATACATGTGAATAAGGAATTAGTCTTAATTTTCCAAATATGAAAATTCTCATTCATCATGCTATACAACTTGCATTATTTCCAATTTTCTATCCAACTGAAACCTTGGGTCATGAGAATCTTTCCTTATTTGGTAAATTTAGACACTACCACAAATGAAAGGAACAAATCCATTTTTCCAATACTGCTTTCAATGGAATCATATAAGCAACAATTTTCCACAAACACCATTGTAAGGATACTTATAATAAATGAAATCAAAAATTTCCTTTTATTTTAAAACTTTGCGGAAAAACTTATCCTTACAGTGCAAAAGTATATGGAAAACTTTGTTGTTATCTATTCCTAAGCAATATATCATAACTCCTAAGTAACAACTCAAAATTCTGATCACCGAACCATGTGATTGAAATCCATTTTCACGATCAAAATTAGCATATACTTTAAGTTTCTTCACTTTTCTTTGATTTTTAAAACAACAACATGTGACCCACTCACATCATGTAACAAGAATCTCAGAATAGAAACATAATAGAGTTAGATACTGGTCTTTACCTGAAGTAGAATCAAACTTCATCACTTTATCAACCTTATGATCTTTCAGGTAAATAGGCAGCTTCACAATCAATGCCCCTTCCTTTGGCAAAACATATGGACTCTTTGGGAATGGTGCACTGGACTATCTCAGACTTGCCTTTCTCTTTACCATTTGGTCAACCGAGTTGACTATGGTCAATCCCTTTCCTTCGGAAGAGAAAGTTGTTCTAGATATCTACCATTTTTAATGTCCATGGAGGTCTGGGTAGTTGTTCTTCTTAATCAAATTTGCTCTGTCAGTGCTTCAAATTATTGCTGATTCAGCAGCACCAAGGAAATAGACAAGATCATTAAGAGTTATGTCATAGACTATTTCATAGTAGTCCCAGAGGTAACTCACTATGTGACTTAGAAAGTGATTGAACAACCAACTTTCTTAAGACTTTGACACCTAACTCTTCCGGCTTGTCAATATGTGACTTCATCTCCAAGATGTGAGCACACATAGACCTTGCTTGCTATTAGGGCTTGAGTGACCTTGAGCTTGTGGGTAATGGAGAATAATTAGAGGAGGTGGAGGAAGTGAAGTTCCAAGAGATTTGGGAAGATCATAGATGTCTGAACTAGACATCTTTTGGGAGATATTCAAGATAGTTGATTAAAAGTCCTTATTATAACACCCAATATGAAATATTAAGGCTAGGACCCAACACAATACTTTTATAACTAGGAAGAGGGATTCCTTAATCTAAGCTATAAAATATTTGAAGGTAGGAGAAGGACGATTCACCAATTTCCACCATGAAAATGAAATAATTTATTAGGTTTTAATTGGATTTGAAACTCCTAGATCTTTTGAGATTCATTGAACTATTCCATAGCATGTTTCAATCTTGAGTGTGCCCTTCTGGTTTTGTGACTAGGATGCCGAGGATCACAAAACAAGGTGTGAAGTAACCATGCAAATTACTTGGTAACATTAATATTTACCCCTTAATCGATGTGTCGGTTACCCACACGCTCTCCACCGATACTATGATAAATATTAAGTTACCCTTTGCCTACCTTGTTAAATCTAGCTAGTGTGACGGTTAACCACACGCGCTCCACTAACCGACTTAAGCAAAGTGCAAAGCGTAATTTCATGGATTAACACCTTATTCACATTTTCCTAAAGTAACTAAGATTGGGAATTATAAAAAGATTTTAGTTACTTTATATTTATCATTAATACTTTTAATGAAGGGAGAATTCTAGTCCTTGTCCTACCCGTTCGGCTAACGACCCTCCACCAGTCAAGGAAGCGGTGGATGAGAGTGAACACCCATTAAACTGCCATTTTATAGGCAGTAACGTTATACCCCCCTTATAGACTGGCTTCATGAATGATGCCTAAGGGCTTAACTTGGAATTAAAGTATTCATAAGGGAAAGCTTTTCAAATTCCAAAACTTGAGGGCAAGTTTTGAAACTATTCAAAACTATTCAATTCCATAACTTATGTGTTTAAAGTAGTGTTAATCCAAAAACTCTTCAAGTTTCATAACTTGAGGACTAGTTATGGAAGACTTTAAACTATTAAAAGAATGTGACTTTTCTTTATTAATAACCTATGGAAATATTTATGAGTTTTATGAATCTTAAATGTGACTTTTCATATAACTTGAGGACAAGTTACAAAAATACATTTTAGAATAAACTCTTAGATTAATTTGGATTGAAAACAACAATTTCACGTAACTTTTCTATTAATCTAAGCAGCTCATAAGAACAAGATAATTCAAATCAAACTTTTTCATGTAATTAGCCTATTCCTTAAACTAATACAAAACATGAATCTATTGAAAATTATCTTTGAAATTAGATTAGAATGAACATTACAACATCAAAAACAGGTTTATAGGTTCAAAAACAGCTTAGGGTAATGATTCTAGTTCAATTCCAGCCTTAAAAGTCGAAAATATGATGTCCAGGGGTCCTACTCATCGAATGTATGAACCTACTCGACGAGTAGGATGAGTTTGTTCATGGACTCGGCGAGTCCATCAGTGGACTCGCCGACTCCAGTGCCCAGACAGCCCGGAAATCGATTTTTTCAGCATTTTTTAGCACTTTGCATCAAGTATAATTGAAAACAAACCTAGCGTTGATACCACTGACGGGCTATGAGAATTATAACAATCCTAAGTGTACATGAAACCCTAAATACCTTGGATATATGTTTTCTCTATTATACATGAAAATATGAATATTCCAAGGTATTATCCTAACTAGCATACAAAACATTGATACTTGGGTAATAAAATGGATAGAATACATACCTTGTTGATGTACCTTGACTCCATGAAGCTCAAGAGCCTAGTGCCCCAAATGTGACACCTCAAATGGTTCACACTACATCACCAACACATGGAATAACCATGAGAAGAAGACACTCATGCTCAAATTGGCTAGCCCTCATGTATGTATCACTAGCACCAATTTCTTGAGCTAAAGGGGTCCTTATATAGTGTTCATATTAGGGTTACACCATGTAACCCATGGGTTTTAACCTCCATGGAGTATCCATGGGTCACTACATGGGTTAAACCCAACATATGGAATCATGGATCATAAGCCCACATATATCAGAATGAATGATTTACACAATCAATCCACATATATTTAATTAGTCTCGTTTTTATCACTAAATTAAGTCAAAATTTATTCTTGATCAATACTAATGAAATAACATGATTTCATACTAATATATTAGAACTTATAATATATTAATATGTCACCAATGTCCTCTCCTCACAAAAGGTCTATCCAAATGTTCCAATGCCATGCAACTTAAATAGACCATGCCGAGTCGGGTCATGTACATACCAAATATAGTTATGGACTTAGACACTAATCCAACATAACTATCCCAAGAAAGGTTATGAAGAGGTGTCAGATAAGGTTCTGAAGTATTGTCAAGGACATCCATTAGCTCTTAAAGTTTTGGGCAAGTCTCTACATAATCAAGAGGTAGCTTATTATAAAGGGTGCATAGAAGGTCTAATGAAAGAAACAGATTATCATATAAATAATGTATTGAGAATGAGCTTTAATGCTTTGCCATCTAACAATGATAAGGAGTTGTTAAAGCACATTGCTTATTTTTTTGTTGGAATAGACAAAGATGACAGTGAAACAATATTAAATGCATGTGATACAAAAACAAGATCTAGGATTACGTATCTCGTTGACAAATGCCTTCTTAGTATAGGACTGAATAACGAATTGAAGATGCAGCAGTTGATTCAAGCAATGGAAGATGGGAAGTACGTCAAGAGTCACTTGACAAGCCATGGAAGCGAAGTCGATTATTGAAGGTTCTAATTAATGGTTTGGTCTAGGCTTTCACTGTAATAGGTTCTTTTGATTCTGTATGCATTTTTTGTACTTTGATGTTAGTTTACGGCCATGATGTGAGTTTATGGCCGTAAGCCTGTTTACGGCCGTAAACCCAGAGTCGGCCCAAGTCCACTATATATAGGGGTTATGTATTTCATTTATGGTTTTCGATGCCATAGAGTTCACGGTTGCTGTAAACAAGTTGTACCAGATGTTTTTCGTTAACAGAAGCGTGTGCAAGCTTGTTCTTAATTCTGTTCCTACTACATTCTTATTATAATCGATTGTTTTGTTTGGTTGATCACTGGTAAGATCCATTTAAGGACCTTAAAATTGGTATCAGAGCAAAACCAGTGTCAAAAGCATCTTGCAATCGAGTCTTCAACGTTACTCATCACTGTTGGGATCAGGATTGGTGGTTCTACTACAAAAGGGAATTGAATCTAAGTCAAAAACACGTTTTCGTGACCTTCTGAAAGTTTACTGCCTAGAGTTTACAACCGCAAGCTCAAGAACCTTCTTGGACCGTAAACTCAGTTCTTAGACCATAAATCAAGTATCTTCAATAACCGCAAGCTTAGCTTCAAAAACTGTAATGAGAAACCGTAAACTGAGTTTACGACTGCAAACTCTCGACCGTAAACCGAGTTTACGGCAGCAAACCCATCTTTGACCGTAAACTCTTGTGTTGACCGGAAACTCAATTTCTTTTATCTTTAAAATAAAATCTGTGTTTTTAAAATTAATAAAGATTCACAAAGTCAAACACATCACCATGAGCTGGATTCTGTCATGGGCACCACTACATGCATTCCAAGACTACTGTCTGCAGATGGTTTTCCTGAGTGGAAATACCGGATAGAAAAGTACATTAAAATGAAGGACTTCAAGATTTGGAGAAGCATCATCAAGAATCCTGTCAGAATAACCACAACTGTTGTAGGGCAAGTAGTTGACAAAGCTGTTGAAAACTACATATATGAAGATTTTGAGAAAGTGGAGGAACAGGAAAGGGCTTTGGCCACTCTAACCATGGCTCTGTCTCCGGATATAGCTCAAGGTTTTAGGAGTATACTTCAGAAAAGGCTTTGTGGGAAGCCCTAATTGAGGTATATGAAGGAAATGAAGACATGAAGAAGAATCGCCAGGACATGCTGTGCCAAAAATTCAACATGTTCAATTACATTTCTGGTAAGACCCTGGAGGCACAGCTACAACGATTCACAACTCTCACCACTGAGATGAATATAGCTGGAATCTTCTTGACAAAGTCTGAAATAAACAAAAAACTACTGAATGCTCTTCCAAAGTCATGGGACATGAATATAGCTCTTATCAAGAAGACCAAACACCTAAATCGCCTTATTCTTGCTGAAATGATGGCAATCATCAAGGCTTGTGATATTGATGATAAACAGCAGGAGATAAATCATGTGAATTCATATTCAAATGCAAATCTTGGAATTTCATCTAACAATGCTCTTTCATCTCTCACCATTCCCTCTACAGGTCAACCTTTTGCTGCTCAGCAAGCTTAGAGTCAATCCTTTGCCACTTCATCAGCTACTTCACTTCCTGCTGCATCATCCATGCCTTTTCCTTAGAACCAATCATTTTCTTCTTCTCAAGTTTCTTCTTCCTCTAATGGGGCTTCTTCCTCAAGTTCTAAGGAGTGTGATGAAAATCTTGCTCTCGCCACAAGACTTGTTAACTGCTACAATGCTCTTGTAGCTGGAGATCTTCCACCACAATTGTCATTTGCTGATTTGGATCAGATTCATCCAGAAGACGTGGAAGAAATGGATATTACATGGAAAATTGCCATGGCAGTTTTCAGGGCGAAGCAATTTGCAAAGAAGACAGGGAAGAATAATTGGGGGATGAGTGCTGATAAAAAGGTAGGGTTTAGATAAGGAAAGCTACGTTGTTTCAACTGTCACGAGCTGGTTCATTTTGCTCGTGAGTGCCTAAAGCCGGATAGAAGATTAAACAATGATCGGACAATGGTTGCAGTGGGAAACAATCGAGGAGGTGCTTAGGTCAAGAGTGAGAAGGTTATGGTTGCCCAGTCATTTGACTGGGAGGACCAGATTCAGGCCCTGAACATTTCAAAACCTGGAAATGCTCACCTGGCCCAAGTTAAAGATGAAGCCTCCGTGGAGAGTGTTGCAGATGAGGAGAAGATGATGGAGCTTCAGTTTGCGTTGATGGTATCTTCTACTTCTGAATCGAAGAAAAATGAGGTAAGTCTGCCATCCTACTCTCAAGCTTGTATTGATTATGTTAAAATTCTTCATGAAGAAATAGAAACATTACGTCGAGAAGTAGAGGACCTTAGATATGAGGCTTAGCAACTTAGAAAAAGACAAAAACCCCTTAAGGCCCAGATAGAAAAAAAATAAAGGACTTTAGGAGACTTCAGGAGGACTATAGTAATAAATGTGAAAATTATGACTACATAAAGAGACAGAATGCTGAGTTAATTACTGAACTGGACACATTAAAGGGCGAATTTGAAACTGCTGATTTTGATTTTAGAAAATTTGATGTATCAAGTGAATTAGTTGCCAACATGATAGACCACTGCATGCAATTTAAACATAATCAGTCAAAGGGTCTAGGGTATGATAAAGTGCCTCCTCCTTTCAACCATTCATAGTAGTTTAAACCTTTGTCCAAGGAGGAGATTGCTAATGAACCATTCATGGTTTATGGCAAGCCATCTGGTTTTGTTTCCGGAGGATTTATTAATGTTGAAAGTACTAACATTTCTACTTCTCCTGCAGATCAATCCTTAAATCAGTCAAAGCACGAAGTTGAAGGATCTGTTTCTGAAAATAAAAATGAGTCTGAACCTGAAGTTTTAGTTTTACATAAAGACTTTATTTTTTCTGATGTTGAAAGTGACAATGTTTTTTGTGATTTTTCTGCACATTCTGATACTAGTTTGAAAGGTTTTAAAGTCTTTAACAAGATGGTTGATAATTCTTATGTTTGCAATGATACTAATAAAAACCCACCATTTCCACAAGTTTCTCCATATGATACACCCTCACTTATCTCACAACCTACTTCTTGTTCATGTTCATGTGAGAAAATCAAGGGTGTTAGTATGGAAAACAAATCTGAAAAGAGCAGTATAGGTTTTAACAATAACAAACATATTTGTTTCAATTGTGGTATTGGTGGTCATATAGCTAGGAATTGTCCTAATAGAATGTTTGTACATTATACGTCACAAAGAGGAGAGAACGAATTTAGAGGAAGGTCTTTAACTAGAAAGTCCTCTAGAGCTTCTCTCAAAATGATGATTGGAAGGATGATCGTAGTAGAAAACGGGAAGTTTTTCAAAATAACAAAAAGGTCTTTCATCACAAAGTCCCGAACAGTTTGCCAAAACTGAACATGGCCCAGCCAAGATCGGTTTCGTCAAGGAACAGCTATGGGTCTTCAAACAATTCAGGTAGAAAACCCAAGTGCTCAAGGCAAACTGATAAAAATCCTATTTCAAAACCATCGGTGACTGTTAGAAAACCTAATTACCAATGGCTGCCCAAAATAAGTTCCAATCCATCATCAGTATCCTCTGGAAAATTAGTAAATAATGATAAATCTGAAATGACAATGGGTCAACCCAGGAAAGTGATGACTTGGGTTCCCAAATCTGAATGATCCCACACATTTTGTAGGGACAGTTGTGGGGGAATGTCGTCAGACCTTGGTTCATCGACAACGGCTGCTCCTGGCATATGACAGGAGATATCTCCCAACTGAACAACATTCAATCTTTTAATGGGGGATATATTTCCTTTGCGGGTGGAGAAGGTGGCAAGGTCACTCAGAGAGGAACCATTACAAATGGAGTGTTAAGTTTCGAGAATGTCAACTTTGCTCCTGAGTTAAAGAATAGTTTGTTGAGTGTGTCTCAGATATGCGACAGGGGCTATTCTACACATTTCACTGACAAGGAATGTATGATTCTCAAGCCATGCATTATCATACCAGAAGAATGGATTTTTGTCAAATCTAAAAGGGATGGAAATGTTTACATTATTGATATGAATAGCAACCTTCCAGAACAAGTTACGTGCCTCTTCTCAAAGATCTCAGAACAAAGTGCAATGCTTGAAAAGTGTGTGTGTGTCATGTGCCCAGGGTAAACATCAAAGAAAACCACACCTACCAAAACAGGTTAACTCAAGAAGTCAGGTGCTCCAATTATTACATATGGACTTGTTCGGTCCAGTCAACGTCCTAAGCATCAACATAAGTTCATACTGTCTGGTTGTGATTGATGATTTCTCTCGTTTTACGTGGGTCTTCTTCTTATCCAACAAAGTTGGGGTTGCAGAATTGATAAAGAAGTTCATAGTGCTAATTGAGAACCAAACCAACAATCAGGTGAAGGCGCTTCATATCGAAAACGGAACAGAGTTCAAGAACTCCATTCTCAATCATTTTTGTGCAGAAAAGGGGATTATGCATCAATACAGATCCGCTCACACACCTCAACAAAATGGTGTTGCTGAAAGGAGAAATAGAACCTTAAAAGACGCTGCCAGGACGATGCTATGTGACTCCAAGTTACCAGTTTTCTTTTAGGCCGAGGCGATTAACACTACTTGCTACGTTCAGAATTGTGTGTTGATCAACAAAGCTCAGATGAAGACTCCGTATGAGATTCCATATGGTCACAAGCCATCAGACAGTTATTTCCGTGTATTCGGCTTCCCTTGCACCCTTCTTCACCTAGAGTCCAACCCAAAGTTTAATGCCAAAGCCGATGATTGTTACTTCATAGGGTATGCTGCACGCACTGCATATAAGGTCTACAATAAGAAGATGAAGTAGATTGTGGAATCCTATGACGTGTGTTGGTTGGAGGAGAATGAAGCGGCTGCTCGAGTGGTTCCGGATTGGTTATTTTATTACACATCACTTTTCAAGTCCATAAATGTGTCTTCAGATGGCTCATC